AAGATCTATGAAGAAAACTAATTTTTTTTTTTATTATTTAATTATTAAATAGAAAAAACCTCCAATCGAATTAGAACAACATCGTTTAACAGCAGACATTGATGAAAATATTCAAAATTAATTTTGTTATTAAATCATTTGGTGAACATATTCTTTTCTTTTTATTTAAAAAAAAAAAAAAAACTAAACATTGTATTTTATTTTATTAAACTTTTATTCTTTTTATCTTTTCAAATGAGTGAAAAGTATAAATATGTAAATGTTTCTTATAATTTATTGTTTTTGCATTGTACGTCCAAAAAATTTTTTTAAAACATAATCACTTAAACGATGATCAGGATTGCAATCATAACTTAATATTGCATTAATACGTGGTAATTTTGATAAACGAACTTCAGTTACACGATGAACATAAGCTCGACCATTGAAAAGTACAAGACTACCAGCTTGAAAATCATTTCGACTAATTATTTTATGATTATTTTTTGTTTTATATTCAAATATACCTTCATTAGATATTGATGCTTGTTGTAAAAGAAGATTAACAAAAAAATGTGAATGATCTGTATGCCAACTAAGTTTATTTGATTGACCATATATATTTATATATAAAGCACCTAATTCATCACAACTTGGATAAAGATGTGGATATATTTGAATTATATCTGTTATAAAATTAGTTAATGAATTCCATGAATAAATTTTACGAAGAAGAGATTCATTTGGAATTTGATCATAAGCAATTATTGTTTTACTACTTGATTCAATTTCATTTAAATTTTTATTAGAAGTTGATGTACTATATAAATTATCTGTATGTTCGACATATGAATTATATAATGTTTGAGAAGAATTTGTTAATATTGAATTAATTTCATTAAGAATGATTGAAAGAGTTTCTTGAGTTAAAAAATGAGAAAGATATAAACAACCAGTTGAAAGAAATTCTTGACGACTATTTAATACTAATTTATTATAAGCATTTGATTCACGATCATGTAAAGGATAAGTTCTGTAATCTATTAATGTATGAGTTCTACGAAATATCGATTTAAAAATTCGTAATGTTGAATAGTTTCGTAATAACATTATTGTTTATTATACTTGACACTTGATATTTTTAAATATTTGATGTAAACAATAAGAACAAATGTGTTTGATGATAAATGATAGATAAGATAGTTTTTTTCTTATGAAAAAAAGCAAAAGAGATAACTATTATTTAAAACTTATTATCGTATTATTTAATAACTTATACTTAAAATGATATCATTCATCATTAGTATAAAAGCAAGAAAGCTGAAAAAAATTTGCTTTATATTTTTAATCGAATTAGTCTTGATCTAAATGTTATATTTAGATGTTTTTTTTTTTATTATTTTTAAAGATTTGAAAAAAGATAAAATAATTATTTCATGTTCCATCCACTATTAGATCTAATTTGTTGAAGTAAATCAGCTACATTGATCATGTATTCTTTACATAGAGTTTCATCAAAACATATATCTAAAATGATTAATTTGTATGAAATTTACTAGCGACATAGACATTTGACATTGAATGTCGATAGCGAAATCTCCATATTATTTTAGCACAAGCTGTCAGCTCTGAAGACTATTTTAAATTAAATCCAAAGCAATATAAATGCTCGTGCTATATTTTTCAACATTAATAGAATAATCATAACTTGTAGATAATAAGATTAGAAGAGAAGATATAGTTATCGGAATTCAATAACGAACGAAAAATGTACTCTGTCAGTCAGATTCGAACCCATTTTATACATGTTCCTAACCAGATGTACTCTCTTGTATGGCAAAGTGAAATTATTCTTGTTGATCACTACATTGTAAATAATAACTACATGATATGGAAATAGAAACAAATTTTTATATTAAATCAGTAGTATGTTGAGTATTATTCTTTCTTTTTTTATCTACACTCGTCATCATTTAGAATGAAACTCAATCTTTATCAACTATTCACAATCAATAGGAATAAGCATAAATTACAGAAATGCACTAGTAGAATTTCCTGTTTTTGTTATATGTGATATAAATTACTGTTTTTTCTATTCAAAATAATTATTTTTTTTTGTGAAGTTCGATCCGAGGGTGTTTCAAGGTCACTAAAATAAAAAGGTCGATGCATTACAAGGGTCAATTGAAAAATTTTTGCTAAAGGTGACTGGATTTTGATGGAGCATCGATAGTTTTTTTTTTTGGAAACTGGTGAGCAGAAAAAAACATCCTTGGTCCTGATTTATCAAGAAAATTCTATTCTTAATATTAATCCTTTGAAAATAACTCACAATAAAAACCAATAAATAAATATAAAAATGTTCTTATCAAAAGATTCATCTATTGAAATATTTTTTTTATTTAACAAAATTTAAATTATTTAAATTGTTTTTGATAATAAATAAAAGATTTAATATTTATCATATTAATAAATAAATGAATTATATGAGTTTTGAAAAATTTCTTTTTTTCCGATATAAATTATTATAATTATCAAATCGAAAATGATTTTCTTGAAATGAAAAATTGCTGTCAAATCAAATCTCTTGATAATGATGTTTATTCCCAAACAAAATTTATTATAAAGACTAAAACATTGTAAACTCTTATCAAGAAAATTCTAAAAAATATTTTAGATTCACATGTTTTCATTGTTAAGAAAAAATTATCATATTTTTAATTGTTTATTATATCAATATGATTTATCTTCTACGTAAATTCATATAAAATTTTCAAAGTTAATAGAATATTTTACAATTGTTTACTTTTCATCTTCAAGTAAATATTTAAAAACTTTATGTTTCAATTATTTCCATTGATAAGACAGATTATTATCATTCAGCTACTTTTTGTTACCTTATTTAATTAATTTTCGAATACAAGTTTGTCAAAATATATTTTATTTAATAGTTTTTTCTTTCATCGAACAATAAAAGTTATTTAAAACCATTAACTTCTATGAGTCAAATAACAACAATAAATGTGAAATCGTGAAAAATATTATTTGCAAAAAAGAAATATAATTCAATCTTCAATTATGATTCACTCACGTATTATGTTATCAATTTTTAGAGAAAGTGACTGAGTCGACGAATAATTTTAAGAAAAGAAAAAAAATGTTTGTTAGTCATTACTTGATCTGTTGTAAAGTTCTATTAATTCGATCAGTGACATGAACTAACATAAAAGATATTTATCAAAAAAAAGTCCATAAAGCGATTGTTTTAATTATGACTAAATTAATCTGTTCTCTTGTGATGCAAATAGATATATAACCCTAAATACTACAGTTATATAGTGGATGATACGATAATAATCTCTAGGTGGTTGGTCAACGATTGATGTATTCAGTAATATAACAGACAATACAGGAAGAATGAATAGAATAGTAAGTGAGAAGAAATGAATGAATTAGGAAAAAAAGTCAATAAATGTAATAGAGACAAGAGTTTGCATGATAATTAATAAATAAGAGAAAGAATAATATGGTAATTAACAAAAAACGAATAATAATGCGGATAATATCAAGGTGTAACAAATAATATAGATAAAGAATATTACCAGAATGAATAAACACATACATATCACAAAAACAAAGAAGATGAAGAAGGATTTTTGCTATTATTTTACTTCCTAGACTGGAAGACTCAGAGTCTTCTAATCTATTTCATTCTGTTAATTCTATTAATAATTGATGTAGTTTTTCAAACAATAATGAAGACTTTGATTATTTAAGAGGAATTATCTTGTAATATGAATTTCAATTGTTGAATTATTTAATTGAAAATCGTATCTTATTAATCGTGATAAGTAGAAAATTTTTCAAGAATAACTAAGTTAACAATTCATAAAAAAAAACAAATAAGAAATGCTCCTTGATTGAGATCAATAGCTTTGAGACTTAGTTGAAGTTTTAGTTTCAAAAACGAAATGACTTTTACTGATCTTTTCCCATTTTCTTATCATAATAAATATCTTTGATTAATTATTTTAATGAAAAATGAAATGTAATGAATGTTTTATTTTTAAATAAGCAATTTTAATTTCTTTCATTGACAAACTTCAATATTTTTCATAATATACTTATACTTACTATATATCTTACACACAGTTTTTATCACATAAATATTCACTAATAGTTATGTTACCGAGTCTTTAAAAAACGAATGTATGTATCGTTATAATTCAATCCCGAATGAATCTTATAATTCTATTAAACACTATACTATTGTTAAAACATACTTGTTTTAATTTATTGTAGTACTAGAGTGTATTGTATTTCAATCTCTCAAAGATTATAATAAATCCTTTTCAATTATATTCATCTCCATAATAAATATACTGAGGTAGATTTCAGCAGAACATCCGAAAACGTACTTTACTACCAACATGTTATAGGATCATGGTCGAATACCTGGTCAGATGCTTTGTAGCTAGTACATTGGCTAAAATCTTTTATTTTTTCCCAGAAAATTTCTTTTTTTATGACGATTCTGTAAAAGAGTCGAAATACATAACGTTTAGATAGTTTAATACTTGAATGATTCTTTATTTGATAATGAAGAATGTAAATTAAAGTTTCGAAAAATCTTCAATTGATTATAATTCATTTATATTAATTCCTTTCGAATTCGTTTCACAAAATTTAATATATTAAATAGAATTTATCATAAATAAATGTATTGAAAACTGAAATGAAATTTTGCATTTAATAATATATAGCCAATATTTTTATTATATAGTTCAACGTTGTTTTGAGATTATTTTTTCATAAAATACTTTTAATTCTTAATGCCAGTCATCAATTAACTAATACCTATTTATGAAGTGTTTGTAGAAGTTTAATAGATACTTTTGAATGTTTTTCGTTTTAATAAGAAGTATTCTATTGAAATATATTGAAAATAATTATAATTTTCTTTTAACTAGGAATATTTCATAAGAGATCAGGGTTTATAATATGAGGACACAAATTTTCATTTAATTATTTAGTTGTAAAGACACAAAAAAATAATAGAAATAAGAAAATATTAAAATAAAAATTTCAATAAATATAAACGAATGATTTGAATATGAACCGTTCGACAATGATTTTTTAGTGACTTTTGATTCACATCCATCTCTATTTCTATAATCTCCCCAACATGCAGCATATGCCATTTTATGCGCGATCGTATGTTGTTCCATAGTTCCAATAAATAAATGACTCCATGGTCCCTGAGCATAAACAGGTACATCTTCACCGGCATGTGTCTCAGCTTTCATTGGTAAAGCTGTTGGTGCTAAATATTTAGTGGAATTCGTATCAAGGGAATAAAGATAAGTTGCGTTTCTTGGTGCTTGGAAATTTGGTCCATTTCCATAAGTAATTATATTAATAGGTAATTTATCAATATCACTAACATTAAATCGTTCTAAAGAACTAAAACCTAAAATATTTGAACCACGTGACGAATAAGCACCAAATGTAAATACATGTGAATGATCAGCAGTAACAACAAGAAGTGTATCATCAAAAATACCTTTTTCTTTTAATAATTGTTTAACTTTTCCAATAGTATTATCAAATTCTACATATTCATCTAAAGCATATCGTGGTCGTGTTTCATGATGTCCATGATCAATTTTTCCAGCTTCAATAAGAAGAAAAAAATTTTGATTTGCTTTTAAAAAATGTTCAATAGCAAATATAGCCATTTCTGATAGACTTGGTTCATCATTTCCATTTATAATTCGATCTGATTCGTATTGCATATGATCACGTTCAAATAATCCTAATATTGGTGTTGATGAACCTAATTCAATTTTATTCATTTCAGTTTTATTCCATATAAAATGTCCTCGCCAATATGTGTCAATAAGTGACTTATTATCTGTTCGAGAATTAAATAATGTTGAATTTTCAATATCATGTGTCGTATTTGGATAAAAATATCGACGACCACCTCCGAACATAATATCAATAGGTGGAGAACGTAAGACAAATTGATGAGCAACATCCAAACAACCTTGTTCAACTTCGTTAGCACCAAAATAATATGAATCATATCCTTCCCAATTACGTTCAGGTACATGAGCATAAGCAGCAGCTGGTGTAGCATGAGTTATACGAGCTGTTGTAATAACACCAACTTTATTACCTTGATATAAATGAAAAGAAGATAATGGTTTGGAAAGAAAAAAAGAGAAATGAAGTCATCTACCGAGTTGTTGAGCCCAATCGATAATACTTGTAACATTTGCGCCAATTGAACTTGGACAATTCGCTCGTTTTGCTCGTCCATCAAGTCCAACTGTACCTAATTGTGCTTTAACTCCACATAAATAAGCTGTTGCTGTTGCTGCTGAATCGGGTGTTTGATGATCAATATTATATCTAAATGATTGTTTTCAAAAATAAAAATATAAACAAAAACAAAAAATGTACGTTTTAGCTAAACCCAAATGTGTAAATTGTTCCATTTCTGTAATAAAATCTTCTCCCAATTCTCCATTAACTTGTCCTTTACGGATTCTTCCTGCTGTAACAGTTGATATACCCATTCCATCACCCAAGAACATGATGACATTTTTAGCGACTCTTGTGTTTTCACGTATTTTTAATATTTCTTCAATTGATATTCGTGCTTGTTCTCTCCAAAATGAAGGATCCTTTTCAATTGTCCAATTGACTCGACCACAACTGACAAGATTATTGTTCAACAAAATAAAGCATATAGTCAACAGCAGAAGTTCTATGAAAAGAGACATTGTTTTGCAACTGTTATTGGTATAATTATTCTTATATCAACATCTATATCGTGCGATCATTATAAGAAGTGTATTTATTATTACATCTAGCACACATTAACATGATATCCTAGACCTTTATGTTTTTATTTCAACAACAACAAGAAACGAAAGACAGCAGATGTTAGCTATTTACATGGTTATCTTTGAAGTACGAAACTATTACCAAGTATTGCTATCATCAGATTTATTGTTCTAAATAGACTTTTTTTTTTTGCGAAGAATAGATGCAAGTAAATGGAGAAACAAGAGCTATTAACAAAAGAAAAAAAAATGAGCAAACGGATAATAAAGATATTAGTAAATACTATGGGACAAGTTCTTATTTGTTGACAGTTTTGTTAACTTGATGGATTCGATTACTTAAGTGGAATACCATCCATATTTCATCGAACTTAGAAAAATATTTTCAGATCAATTGTTAAATTCTAGTATGTATATTGAAACTAATTTTCAAAAGTTATCTTTTTATACGAATGATTTTAACCTTGTTATAAAAGAACTTCTACGTTTCGACCTTTTTCAACAGAGACTTGATGAAAATTTTTCAAATTTACACAATAGATAGAACTAGATGAATAGAGTAAAAGTTGTCATCGACTGAAAATATCCTTAATTATCTTCCTTCTGGAAGATTTTAGGGATGCAAGGACAAAAAATGACATAAAGTGCTTCTCAGAATTGTCAGATTTTCTGACAAACAAAGAAGATTTACAATTTTCTAATTTTCTTTCTCAGTTTTTGAGATATCTTTGAATTCTAGTTTCTCAGTAGTACTTGGTAGAAATAGAATAATTGTTTATTACTGTATATGTATAAAGTTCATCTCTTTTGTCAATATTCTTGTGAACTATTAATTTTTATTATGGTAGAAGATGATACCTTTCTGAAGATTATTTCATCAGCAATGTCACAGATCCTATTTTTCATCGTGCTCTTTTATTATGTCAATATCAGACATGCTTTATGTTAGAAGACTCAACTTCTTTTTTTGCAGAAGCAGTTCAGAAGACGCATTTTTCAGAAAGATGTTTTATTATGTTGTAATTCAAAACATTTATCGAATTTTTCTGTATTTCTACTGTTTTTCTATCGCAGATTCTACTTTGAGATGTAGTTCTTGGACACTTTATCAGAATAAACGAAATATTTTTTTCAGTAAAAACTAGTTGAGAATATCTTAAACAAAAATGTTTCTCATACATTTCATAAGATTATTCTCAAATGGCTTTTTCTATAGCATTAAAAAGAAGTGACATAATTAAATTTAAAAGTGTTGATAACGTAAATCGTCCTTTTATCATTTATATACTAAAAAGACATGCATATCGTATATGTTGAAAAGTGCAGTATTGACAGTTGCTAAAAACTTCCATTCTAAAGCAATTCATTTTCCATTATCAAAAAATACATCGAATAATATGTCTAATTGTAAAACTAGCTGTAAGTATTAATCAAAAAAAAAAAAAAAAGATTCGAGATAAAAATTAATGTTTAGTTTCGTGCATCTTATCTTGATTCTATATGTATATTGTTTTCTCGGATTTTTTTTTTGTTATGAAATATCTTTTAGATAAAATGTAGATAAATGAATACAAAAACAATTAAGTATATTATATTAGTGTAGCAACTGCGGTCGAATTTCGTTTTATGTCTTCTTTTTTTTTGTTTTGAACAGTGTTGTTCTTACAGCGTAAAAGAATCAAAATATCGGAGGTATTATTCAAAGAAAAACATGGGAAAACGTTTTTCTTTTTGAATGATGCTGATTTTGTTGAATTTACAAAAATGCATAGTTACAAGAGTTTTGAGAGAAAGAAAAAAACATTCATAGTCATGTGATTGAAATATACATAGCATAATTTTGAGATCCATCAACGGTACTATAGAAAGAAAAACGCACAGAAGATTGCCCTTTTTGATATTTTCAGTATAAAGTTTTTCTTTTCGTGAAGTTCTTTACATACAAAAAGACGATTTTGGACTTCTCAAAAAGTGCTCATTTTTGATGGAGACAATTTGAATCAAAATATCGAATATCAAAAATAAAAAATATCTAAAAATTTTCAAGTCGAGAATAGCAAAAATTCCTGAAACAGTCAATCATACATTCTAAATATGATATAATTTTAAGATGAAATTATTCGTCCGTAGACTTGTCAGAAAATCTTAATCTTGTATACTCTCTTTTCCTGAATAAACTTCAAAATTAAGACATAGATATATATGGCGTGATTATTTCACTTACTTTTATTCAACATTGCAACCAAATGAAGTTTGACGAAACACAATTATCAAAAATATTCTACTTGTGTAAGCTTATCAATAAAAACAATACTCTTGAGTATTGACAATATTCCGATTGCATAGAAAATGATAGATGTTTGAGTCTAAAAATAAAAGATTTATGATGAAGAGATAAGTCTGATAGACACCGAAATACTTATATTTTTCTCTGTTGCTTTTTCTCTCTTGGGTGATAAATAGAAAAGTTAGGTGAATACGTGATAGACTTCTTATCGTGCTATAATTACTATTTTTTTCAATGATTTTACCAATCTTATTTTTAATACTATTCACTCTTAATGATTATACGTCCGACTCTGTGACAGAATAAAAGTAACTGAAAATTTTAAAAAATCAAAGATATTATACAATTAAATGTTACCTACTAGATAAAACAAAATATACAAATTTAAAAAAACCGAAGGGATTGATATATATTCTTAATTTTCTGCAGATATTCTAATTATTTCGATGAATATTATAAATAAAATATTGCATACAATCTTCTTTTATATTTACTATTGTAACGGTATATGTCGAAGGTAGAAAAAAACTACGAGTCAAGGAAGAGTTTTAGAAATAAATTTGAATATTTTGTAGAGTGAAAATTATTTATAAAATCAACTCTAATTTTGTTTTTGAGAGTAGGAAAATATTAGATTTTATCTATGTCATTCGTTATATTTGAATTTGATTACGTTTTCGTCTTGTCAAAATATTTCATAATAAACAATATTTGCCTTTTATTAATGTTACAGATGGCATTGATGACTATTTTTATATAATGAATAATTATAATCGACAAAAGATGATGCGATTATAAACGCATAATTCAGTCGTCATTGTGCGTTAAAAATTAACTTACTGTTATTCCTTGAAATCTTGAATATATTTAGCTAAATCGATCATCGAAAAAAAAAAATTCATTGATGAACTACAACAATTTTCAATGAACTCTTAAGACAACTGATTTCAATCGGTTTCATCATTAATCAAATGTTGCATATTAGAAAGTACATATTTTCCTTTTTAGAAATATTTAATTAAATAAAAGTTTCTTCAAAATAACTAGAAAAGAGCATCTGATGATATTATGAGTAATAATTTATTAGTCATTACCCTATCCAATATATATGAAAAAGAAAATAAACAATAACAATCTGTCATATTATCGATGCAGAAGCGTATCACTTTGAGACGTGTATATGTTTCAGATATTGTTTTTCTGAATAAGTAATTTCAACATGATCCAAATAAGAAATAGTGCATTGAATACATTTAAATATATAATAGGCAATTTGAATATTGTATTTAGTGGAGATTTTTTATCTTCTATAATCATATTTATAGATAATTTCTTTATAGTATATTTTTTCTTGAAAGGTTAGAAACAGATAAAGAGAAATAGAAGAACAAATTCATAAACTCATTTCCTAGGTGTTAACAAGCTCAAATAAAGCACTTGAGGATGCTAATATTTGTTACTATACGCATTCACACGTCAAGTTATTGAATTACACATTTAGTTTGAAGTCAACCAATAAAACTGGTGTACTCTAGGGATGACTTGCGACGCAAATTACTGCTTTTACTATTAGTACTATTAATAATATAGTCTGTTGACATCAATAAAACAATATATTTCATTTATTGTTATACTTATTTAAATAGAAAGATATTTTCATTGTTCCAGAAATCGTTTCTAAACGTAAAAATAAACAAATAAATAGCAAGGATTTATCAAGCGTTATTATCGAAATGAGAAACCACCATGATATTTATGCACGTGCATCGATATTGCTGAATAATATTAAGAGAACGATCAAAACACAAGTTCTGTCATAGAGATAATTGACATATCTTTAACACAACAGAAGCAATGCTGTTTTCAACTATGTACGAAAAAAAAAACTATAGGATTTAAGTTTATATATCTAAATCATTGTTCCTTCTATGTTTTAGTTGGTAGGGAAAAAAATATTTCAAAGAGTTTGACGACGATGAAGATAATCATCCAACAATAAATTTCATTGTCAATAAAAGTTTTCTAGGTCACGGATCGGTTAATCGTTTAGAAAAAAAAACGTCGCAAACAATCTCTAATTGTTTTAGTCTAGGTGAAATCAACATATTAATGAAAAATAACAAACACATGCAAAAGTTTATCAAATCAATCTTTTGATAAACAAAAACATTTAACACATAGGAAATTGATATCGCTTATTAACTATGCTGAATTTTACTAGCATTCTCAATTAAATATTGAAAATACTTCAGGTGGTTTAAAAGAATTAGTAAGATATTGTTTGAAAAACATCGAACGGAGAAATCCATAAATGATGTTAGGTTGAAAAATATGTTTTTGTTATTCTTTTTTTCCTCAATTTGACGATCCTTCTCCTTCCTCTAGACGTTCGTTGCTAAAAATTTTATTGAGAAATAACGTACTAATTCAGTTGCACTGTCTTTCTTTTATATTAAATCACAATTTGTCACCTAAGTATATGAGAAGTAAATATAATACGTATCTAGATCCAACACAAGCAGTTAGATTCTATCAAATCTGGACAGATTTTGAAGAGATCCTTTTTTTGTAGTTTTGCAATATTCTCGAACATTAGGAGTTCAAAAGAAATGAGTGGTTCGATTATTAAAGATGTCATTTATGATGGTTTCTGACGGAAATAATCAAATATATATTTGTGAACATCATGATAATACAGGTTTGCTTTGAAAGAAACTTGAACTATAACAGTTGTCATCGAATGTTCAAGAATCATCAATATCAGTTAGTTCAACACTTTATGATGATAAAGTTCTTTTAATAGTTGATCCTTATCATTTAAGTGGAAATAATCGAAAATTATTTATTGTTCATCATTAATGAATGATCATTATATGAACATGTTAATACTCAACAACGACCTTCAAAGAATTCATTTTTTCGAAAATAAAGATGAAGAACACTCTATATTGAATATAGATAATGAACGAAAATGCTTCTGCTCAAGATATTTCCATTGGAGTGGTTATTGTGTTGTACTTCTAAAAAAATATGTTGTTTTGTTTTATATATATATATATATGTTCTAGTTCATCAAAGTAAAAATAGTTTTTCTTGTATAAATAATTAAAATTATTTATATAATGTTTCAGTAAATCATCTTCAAATAACATCTATTTTTCTTTTAATATCTATTATTTTTAATTAAATTATTAATCGATCTGTATATTAAGTAAATATTTCATTATATCATTATTCCTTCTTATTGTATTATATACATGGCTAAAAAATACAGAATACTAACAGTGATTAAAATAATGAAGATTATTAAAATATATATTTGATCAACTCGAAAAAACATATCATTAAATTAAATTTAACAAATACAAAGGGAAATTACATGACTACAGATCGAATGGCATTTCTTTGCCACACCAGAGTATAGATGTTTTTATTGAAAATGAATTATTTTCTTTGTAATTTTAATAAACTCCTGTAGTAATACGTATATACTAAATAATCGTTTGATGTCATGAAGAATACGAAACATCAATATCAAATTGCAAAAAAAAAAAATATTCATTCGGATCTATTTCTCTAGGCAGAATATTTATTTATATCATGATTTGAATTCATAGAAAGAAAAACAATTTATTATTTATGACGACGTTTTATTTGCTTCTTCTTGCATGTGACTGTTACAGATGCACCTAAATGTTGATATGATGATGGTAAAGTTATTGTAACATTAGTAGTACTATCCGATACTACAATACATCCTTGTCCATATCCGATTCTATCAATATTTATTGTAATAGTACCATTAATACGAGTTGGATGAGAAACTGTAACAGAAAAATCAGTAGAAGTCTCATTAAATAAATAAGCACCAGCATCATTTAGTCGTATATTTATTTTGAAAAATGAATTTTGACATGAAAATATTGTTGTAATATTATTCCATAATACAAATGATGCACGTTGCATAGTTGACCATGCCATTCCATGAAAAAATTCATTATTTGAAATACAAGAAAATATATGATCATTATTATAACGTTTAATTAATTCAGGCATAAATTCAACATTGACATTTGGTAAAATAATATAACTATAATTACGAGTATATGGTCCTATTCCATAATCTAACCATACAGTTACTGTACGTCTAGTTATTGTATCATTGTACGGTCCAATTGTATTGTAAGATGCTGTTTTTGTACTCACTTCTGCTCCTAATGTTGAATAGAATCCTTGTATTTGTAAAAGATAACCAATATTACTTTCACCAATATGTATCCATTGAACATTTTCTGATTTGTTAATTGTATAAGGAAATGAATAATTAATTCCATCAAAAAGTGAAATAATAGTACCATTAAAAAAGCCAATAGTAACATTACCTTTTGATAATAAACGACTAACTAATGTTGTCCATGCTGTATTCTGTGTATTAAGTTTTAAATTACTTGCTAATGCAATAACTGCATCATCATAAAAATGCCATGATCTCTTTACAGTAAGATTATGAGTTGCTGTATCCATTATTGCTAAACCATAATTACCATCACTAACACCTCCTACAAAATTTAATTTTATCCAATCGAAAATTCCATGTGTACAAGATTCAATTGGAATATCATGTTCTACAACAATTCCATTGATTGCTTGCCAATCTAATAAAGGAAATATTTTTTTATAATCAGTTGCTTTTGTTGTATAGATATTTAATACACCTTGACCAAGATGTTCACCTTTTTGATTTTCATAATTAATACATTCAGTAGGTTGAGTTCGAATTGATTGCATTTTTATAGCAGTTGTCCAATTAACACGACGATGAATTTGATAATCAGATGTATAAAAATGTTTATTTCCAATTAATGAAATAGCATTTGGTTTATAATCAAGACGATCAGCAAAATTTAATAAGTCTATTTTAAGATTATCTAATTTTACTAATTCTGCTAATGATCTAATCCAATTTGATTGAAATTCAACTTGTAAAGAAGTATCTGCTCTATCAATTGATCTACCTAAAACTTGCCAATCCCATCTATCATTTATTATCATCCAAGCATCACCTTGTGTTAAAAAATTAGCAAATATTATTATTTGTTGTTGATTTAATTCATATTGAGTATTTCTACTACATAAAATGAATATAAACATAGCTAAAGCCCAATCTTGTCCATAAGCACCTGATAATAATTGTGTTCCATGAAAATGATAAGACCAATCACTTTGTATACCTTGTCCACCTAATGGTAAAACAACAATATCTTGCCACATACGTGTAAAACCTTGATCAAGACCAGTTCTATTATTTGTTGCTAATGATCGATATAATTCAATTTGAATCATCCAAATAAGATTTGCACCTGTTCCTGGATCATGTTCCCACCAATCAGAACGAAATGATATTTCAGTAATTTTTTGAATTTCAAAATTTGTTGCATTATTACCTAACATTAATAATTGACCAGTAACTAAAAGTGGAATACCTATTTGATTAAACCACCAATTTGGATTTAACCAATCACGTATTAACCATACATTAAGAGCACAATGAGCACCGACTGCTAATTGTGGATCATTTTTTACACTAGAATTTGGAAATGTCAATGCTTGTATCATAATATTAACTCGTTTTAGATGTTCTTCTGTAGCCCAAATAGCTAAAGTTCTATCAGCATAATTAATATCTTCCCAGTAACATGAGCTATTCATTTTTTCATTGTAAGAAATCGCAGCTTGTACTATATTTGATATAGTATTGATTGTTGGCCAAATTACCATTTCTAATACACGTTGGCGAATTATAGCAATATCATCATTTGTTGATTGGCAATCAATAAATGTTGAACATGAGCATATCAGAACAAGAAGAAGAAGAAGAAGAATAGACAGAAACGATCTATCCATTCTTATTCTGATTATTGAAAAATTATATTTCAGTAAATAATTCGTTGATGAACTTCATACAAGGTCATTATTTATTCGTTCTTATCATGAAAGAAAAGAATGTAAATATAAGACTTTTTCTTCTTGAAATTATTTGCAAAGATAAACCAAAAAAAGAATTGAGAACCTATTTTCTTCTTTTTGTCAAACTTTTAAGTTTCTCGTATTGAGATTGTAAAACAAATCACAAAGATCGCATTTGACATTTAAAGAAAGTTTTTCAAAAATCGAGCAAGTATTTTCGATGATATTTTATCCATATGTTGGAGATATTGTTCTACGAAAAATCCTAAAAGGATTTAGGTTGTGAGAGCTTCCTTTGAAGTTCATGATCATTTTACTGATTTTTTTTCACCTAACACAAGGTATATATATATCGTTTATATGTAACTCTTTTAATCATTAGAATATTCTAAAAGTTCCAGTGAAAAAAAATGTTGCATTGTGAAAAAAGTGAATATTTCTGAACTTTATACGTTATGAGACAAGTTTTTAAGAATTGTTATCTGTAGAAGAAAACATTTTTTCTATCGTAATCACTTTCAGATTAATCTAATGATCACAAGAACTATATAGAAGAAATATATTCAAATGAAAAACTTTTTTTTTGTTCGATTTTTCTGTATACACCTTTTGGTGGTAGGTGAAAAATTTAGTAAAATGGTTGTCACCCTCGAAAAAAGTTCCACTAAGCCCAAACCCGAAAAAGATTTTTCTTAGCATATAGACAAAATATCATTGAAACTTTCACTCAGTAGATAATTTGTTTCAGCCCAGAAAACAAATACTAAATCAAATCATTCTGTTCTTATTTATTTTATACAATAGTTAAGTAACAAATTCTATATAACTCTATGTATTTATCACCTTTGTCCATGAAAACAAAATACGTTCTATCATTTATGATTATGACATTAATTCGAATAAAATATATGAATTTAATAATATATTTCAATGAATAAAAGTCAATGTACAAACGAAATTATTCAATCCATATCGATTGCAACAAAATTACATATTTTAATATAGACGAACGAAATACAATCTGATCATTGTCTTTTAGTGAATAGGAGAATTTTCCTACGGAAAATTTTCATCTTATTGTTCAACTTATCTTTAAATAAATAATTTCCTTGACAATCAGCTTAATAAAAAGTAACAAAAAAAAATCCTTGATACCAAACATTCATTCTTATCAACGCTAATGATTATAAATACGAACACCTTTATAGATAAACATATACGAAGTCATTTTTTTTTTTGTTTATTGATAATTTATATGATAACACAAAGCAAAGAATAACAATAATCACTAGAATTATTTTTTTAATCAAGAAAGTGAGAACGAATGATAAAACAGTACATCTACTCTTTTTACTCAAAGTGTTATTTTCTTTTTCTTTTTATTTTTTATCTTACATTTAAATAGAGAAAAAAAAACACAGCGATGTAGAGATTCTAACCTTTCTTCATTCTAACACATTGATAATAATAATGTTTCAGCGTGCAGCAAATGGTGCTAAATTCCTTCGTCATGTTGTTCTCTTTAAATTCAAAGATACAGCTAGTCAAGCCGATATTGCTAAAATTCAAAATGAATTTCGAGCATTAGCTACAACCAAAGTACCACAAGTGCAAAAATTCGAAAGTGGAACACATATTGGTAAAGAAAGTTCAAATCAAGGTTTTACTCATGGTTTTTTATTAACCTTCAATAATGAACAAGATCGAGATATATATATGGCTCATGATGATCATAAAGCTTTTGTCAAACTTCAACAAGGCATTATTGATAAAAAAGTTGTATTTGCTTTTTGGGGTGAATAAATTTTTATATTAGAATATATATTTAAATAAATTTGTCGTTTCATTGTTGCTGATTTTGCTTTGTTTTATTTCTTTCTATACAAAAATGGTAATAATATCTAGATTATATATCTCGTATACGAATTTTATATAAATACTTATCAGTTATAATACATGTAGGTCAAGAGATTGTGCTCATATAAATAGTACTAAACTATTACGAGATGTATGTTTTTAAGAAGTATGTCAAAAAATGTGCGACCTCTTTTTTTTCTCTCGCTCAATTCTACGATAATTATTAATAGCAGGAGGCTGCTGCATAGAGAAAGAATATGCTGATGTGATGAAATTTGATTCTATTTTGACAACTGTGATGTATGTTTGTCAATAAAGTTTTTGTATATTTTCAACAACTTATTGAATGTTCACATAGGAAAGATTTATTGATTAACTTAGATTATGACAACGAACTCTTTTTCACGTAGTCCCATTATCAATCAAAATGAAAACAACGAACACAAAATCAATCTCGTAATTTTCGAATTCTTATTTTTTTAATCTCCTAAAACAAATGTTTTTTAAACTTAGTTTGAATTACAATCTGATGATGATGATTGGACTCGAGTAATTCATCATGATCTCAACATAAAACGACGAACATGTACTACATTTATTCCACAACTTTCAGCAACGAGTGATTCGTATGTTATTGAAAGTTCAATTATCTTTTCTTTTAATAAAATGAAAAATGTAATTTTAGTAGTAGAAGTAGAGATAATGTTCAATGTGGTTGTAATCGTCTTCGTCGTGAACATTCTTGGGATGTTTTCGATGGAAATGATCCTGAATGGAATAAAAAGCAGCATACAACATCGGCCTACAATAATGCATATGGATATAAACCTGATACTCATGCACATTATATTCGATGTGATATTGAAACACAGCCAAGTGTTCTTGTTAAGTTAATGTTTGATGTATGGCGAGTTAATACACCACGATTAATAATGTGTATCATTGGAGGAGCTAAATATTTCAAATTAAATGAACGACTTGAAAGAGAATTTATGAAAGGCATTATTAAAGCTGCATTGGGAGCAGGTAGAGAACAAAAAAAAGAAAGAAAACTATGTAAAGATAAAATCTATTTGATTTGTTTTAAAGATGGCTGGATTGTAACGACGGGATTTAAAGCGGGTGTTGTACAACTTGTTGGTGAAGCTATTCATGATCATAAAGTAACTAATCCACGAAGTCATATTACTGCTATCGGTTTTTCGAAATGGGGTGCTACTAAAAATCGAACATCACTCATAACAGTAAATATTCGAAAATTCTCTTGCTTTTTTAAACTGTTGAATATTTGTTTCTAGACAAAAATAGCAACTAATTCGAATCAAAATACAACGATAAATACATCTAAACGTAGAAAAGGTGAACAAGAACTTGAACCTAATCATACACATTTTTTATTACTTGATGATGGAACTTATTATGGATATGATATTGGAGATTATCGAACAAAATTTGTTCTTGAAGCTTCACGTTATAAAGAAGATGGTACTTTTATAGTAATCGCAAAAAGTCCAGTTATTGGATAAGAAGTGCATCATCTTCAATCCTTTTGCCTGATATTTTGAATACAAATAGAGTTCGATAAATCCTGATTGCAAGCAGCTATCCATGATCGATAGGTCCTAATACAAACGATTTACGATGAACGCATTGTCTTTTCCTAGAGTTCACGAAAAGCTTTTTGATATTTTTCGCTTTTTCCACTATTTAAATGCGTTCACTATCATTTTCTTATGAGTACATTAAGATTTGCACGTCTATATTATGTCGCAGGAAAAGTACTTCAGTCTCTAATAGTGTTGAGGCGTAGGAAAGACAATCTTGTTTGGATTGATTTTAGTATGAGTCATTTCTCTGTTGATGACTGCAATTGTGAAATTTTTAAGAAAAACTTGATTATAGCAGAGCACTCATTAGAAAAAATTTCAAGGCAAATGATTAAAATTCGTCGATGATATCGTTCACTTTTTGATGATTCACATAAACTATTATATGAATATCACTCAGAGATTACTTTATAAATCAGACAAAACAGAATCGCTTGATATGAAATTTTTATTAGAGATAGTTGACAATCTTGAGCTATTGAATGAAAGATCTAACATCATGAGATATATTTTCCATGCTAAGGTATACTCGTCTGAAACAATAATTTATATTTATCGTCTAGATCTTCTACATGAGATCTGATCAGTTTCTGATGAGTTCTTGCGATCAGTATTCAACATGCTCTATTTATGGTCAAATTATGAGGCAAAAGGATTTAAGTTTAAGGGGACCCCCCCCCCCTTTCCCGACTCAAAATTTTCACATTTTTCGTTTTTGATTTTTTGTGATCAGTATATAGATTTCAATGCCCTCTATCCGTTGAGCACACTTTGAGAACTGAAAACCCACATCTTATATATACAAAAACTCGAAAAAAACCACAAAATATGCTGAAAAAACCAAAAATCACAAATTTCGTTGCATTTTTCTGGAAACCAGTTTTTTGGGTATCAAAAAACAGTTTTGCCCCCCTTTTCTCCGCCATTTCAAGTCCGATCGGGCTGAAAATTTTTTTGGTGAGACTTCAAGTGATTTGGGTTGGACGTTTTTTTTTTTTTTGATACCTTCTACCAATCAAGTTTGGCAGGCCTCGCAAAATTTTTAGGACCCAAAAAACCTAGAGATTTTGCGAAGTGCTCAGTATTTTGGTTCTCCAGCCTGAAGTATTTGGAATTTTTGAAAAAAGAAAAAAACGTCCACCCCGATTGGGTCCGTCTACCCACAGTAAAAATTTCAGCTCAAACGGATGAAATCTGTGGAGTTGCGGGGGCGGCAAAACGTTTTGCAAATTTTTGACCTTGGAGTCTCTGGAAGTCCACGAAGACGACGTCTGACAAATTTGTGTCTATGACAACTTTTGCTCTACTACTCGAGGTCTATCTACCCTGAAAGTTTCAGGAATTTTCGTTAGGTCGTTTCTTAGAAACGCCGGAAAGGGGGGGTCCCCTTAAGTACCTTTTACCTAGTAGCTGGACTTTTTTTTGCAACTACTGACTATAGTTTATACTTCTTATTGTTTATTAATATTATATTTAAGCTCCTGTTGTGACTATAGTTGTCGAAGGTGGTCCAGATACATTATCAACAATTTACAAAGATCTTTCTTATCGTATACCAGTAGTATTGGTTAATGTATGGATTTCCATTTATTTCATTGCTATATATTTTGATCGAACTTTGTCTACATAGGGTAGCGGTCGAGTACCTAATCTTCTTGCTAATTTTCTTAATCGTACGGAATCAATGATTCATCGAAGTGGAAAAGATAATGATGGTGCTAATTGGAAACAAGTGATCGATATCAAAACAGAGGATGATATTGAAAAGTAAAACATTTTTTTTTTATTATGTTTACATATATATATATAGATGTTGATGATTATTTTTTAAGATTGAAAACAAAATTTCGTCCTTATGCTGATGAAATACGTGACGGTTTAAGAGAGTTATCTAAAGGATCAAAAACATCAGACAAACAAATAGATGAGTTACATAAATATTTTCTTTATTGTTTACAACCAGCTGTTCGATCTAAAATTCGAATATTCAGTCTTGATAGTAATGAATCTTTAGATAATACTATTTTCGAAGCTATTGTAGAAGGTAAAATCAATTCTATTCTATTGAATTATATGATTATTTTTCTTTATAGCAAAACAACAAGAAGGTTCACAACAAAATAAAGCAGTTAATCGAGAACAATTATTATCTTTGGCACTTGCTTGGAATGCTATTCATGTAGCAAAAGAATATATTATTAAAGATGATTTAACTGATCTTCGTGTAAGTTTACAAGTTAATGTAATGAAGATTCTTGAAAAAATTTTATTTTCTAGCCAGAAACTAAAGAGAAATTATTTTTTGATGCACTTACAAATAATAGTCCACAATTTATTGATACATTTATCAAATTAAATTTTGATTTAAGTGAAATGTTTTACGAAAGAAAAACTAATCAACCATGGAAATTAAAATGGGCTCAATTACTTAGATTATATAAAAAGGATGAAAAGAAGAATGTAAAATAAAATAAAACAATCGATGTTCTATATTAAATCGAACTATTTTCCTTTTTTTTTTTCTTTAGAAGGAACGTCTTTATTTACTTCATAGATGTTGTGACAATACACCGATTAAAAACGAACTGGATCTTGATGTAATATTAAAAGCTTTAATAGGTGATTATTTTAAATCAATATATACACGTTCAGTCACTAGCTTCTGGGAACGAGTAAAAATATGGTGCCGATGTTCAGTCGGAACTCGTGTTGAAGATAGCCGTGCGGCTTCGTATAGAGATTATAATGGCGATGATTCTGAAGTACCTGATCCAGAAGAAGCTCAAAAAGAAGCTCGAGAACTTGTTTTTCGTGATTTATTTTTGTGGTCAATATTAACAAATCGTATTGAAATGTCCAAAGTTATATTAAGTCATATGCAAACACGTATTTGTGCTGCATTAATAGCATCAAAAATATTTAAATCATATGAATATTTTGCTTATGATAATGAATCAAAGGATGTTTTACATCATCAAGCTGATTACTTTGAAGCATATGCAAATGAATGTTTAAAATGTTGTTATAATGCTAATGAAGAAATGGCAGGTGAAATCGCTATTCGACGTATTAACATATTTGGTAATGTTTCATGTCTTCAAGTGAGATATAGAACCAAGACACAAAAAAAAAAACATAGATTTCCTTTTGTTTTATTTTAAGGTAGCTGTTGCTGCTGATGATAAACATTTTGTTGCTCAAACATGTTGTGATCAAGTTTTGAATAGTATTTGGTATGATAAAATAGAACCGGGTCAATTTACATTACTTCAACGCCTTGGATTACTGTTAAGTGTTTGTACATTTGGTTTATTAGCACCATTTATTGTGCCATTCCGTGAAGAAAAATTAGTTCCTATTGATTTTGTTAATGATCAAAAAAAAAAAAATTATGCAATGACTGTTAATGAAACAGAACAAGAAATAAAACCATTATTACCGAAAACAAAAGAAAGGTAAATATTCAATTATGGTAGTGATCAATTAATTTTTGACTACAGGAACGAATATATGTAGGCTTCTAGAAAAAGATGTTCTCTATTTAATAACGTATGCATTCTCAAGCTCTATTGCTCACTGTAACTTACAAGCGTAAAAAAAACATGTGCATTTGTAAGAAATTTTCAGACACTTGCGTTTAATTGAAAAATATTTTTCAATTCGTCGTATTTCATGTATGAAGACACAATTTTCTGTTTTTAAGCAAAATGTACGAAACAATGTGTGACTCTTATTTTTCAATAAAAACATTGATGTATTCTAGCATTATGAGAGAAAAAGCAAGAGTTTGGCGCTCCAAAGTACAGTGGAGTATAAGTGAGTTAACTCACTGCATTTGTACGTCACGCGTACGTCGAAGTATTGAAGTCTTGCTTGATTTGCATGCAACAAGAATATTAAGCGTGTCCTTGCTCAAAACTCCATGCATGTAAACGTGAGTATAGCTTACTGTGTGACACGTTCTTACATATATCATGTCATAACGATTTAGGTGTATACATGCATTTTATAAGCTTTTGCGTTTGACTAAATGCGTACTATTAACATGTCAATAGAGGAAGCCTTTCTTTACAAGTCTACATATATCCTATTGTATAGTCACAGCCTTATCGCCGCTTTTATTTCATGAAAATAAGTAAATTTTCGTTTTTCTTGAAAAATATTCGTTATGCTCATTTATTCTTCACGTAAATAGCTTTTTTTATATCACTAATTTGTTTATGGATATATGATAATAGAATTTGTATGCTCTTAATCTTGAATATTCATATTTAGATTAAATAATCATGGTATTAATTATTCTGATATTTATGCACGACCATCTAGTTATTGTTCACAAGCATGTTTTAATTATTTTCGTCGTTTAAAACAATTTCATGAATCACCATTTATTAAATTTTCGTATAATGCTGCTAGTTATTTATTTTTTCTCTTACTGTTTTCGTATTATTTATTATTTGATTTTAAAAGTCCAACGAATGAAACTCCAAGTATACATTGGACAGAAATTGTAGTTATTATTATTGTAACAACAATGCTCTTTGAAGATATTCGACAAGTAAATTATTAAAAATAGATTTATTTTTTTCAGATATTTTTTCTTTTATTTATAGTTCCTTTCCCAAGAAAGTCGATCAATAATGGGAAAATTGTCCAATTATTTTGTAAAAAATCTGTTTTCTAGTTTAATTCGTATTGCATCATATATACTTTTTTATATTGGTCTTATTCTTCGTTTTACACATGCATCTACTGATGATGAATTATCAGTTGCTAAAATAATTCTTGCTTATGATCTTGAGATTTGGTATATTCGATCATTAGCTTTTCTCGGTGTTATACGAAACATGGGACCAAAACTTGTTATGATACGAAGAATGGTATGGTAAAAAACATATTATTTTACTGTTTTAATTTTATATTTTTAGTTAATCGATTTATTTTTCTTTACATATATTATTTTAATTGCTATGGTTGCATATGGTGTTACTTCTCGATCTATGTATAACTATAATACAGATAACAATGCTGATGATTTAATATTTGAAGGTCGATCAGTTTTTCGACATATTATTTATCCGGCTTATTATCTTATGTATGGATCAACAGATAACGAATTATCAGCACTTGACCGTATACTTTTATTTTATTTTACTGACCAATTTTAAATAGAATTGCTTTTTTTTTTTTTTTTTAAATAGAAAATCCAGATCTTGGTACATCTATCGCTACTCAAGTTTTATTAGCTTTTCATATGTTATTTGTTAATATTCTTCTTATTAATCTTCTTATTGCCATGTTTAGGTATGTGTGATTTTATTCTTTTTTTAAAAATATTACATAAATGTTATTTGAGTTTAGTTATACATTTCAAACAGTTCAAGATCAAACTGATCTTGTTTGGCGTTATGAACGATATTCATTAATTCGTGAATATTTTGATCGACCACCACTTTTTCCTCCATTTATTATTATAACTCATCTTATTGAACTTATTAAATTCTTGATACGACATTGTCAAAACAGAAATAATCCATCTTTGAGAAAAAAACAAACTAAAATATTTAGTAAATTAATAGAAAAAGAAAAAAAAAAAACAATTTCATTTTTACTGGTTTTTTTTTAGAAATGATTGGTGCTAATCGTAAAATAGATAAAGAGTGGTCAGAATTTGAAAGTTATGCGACAAATCTTTATGCTCGAACAATAGTTACTGGTCAACCATCATCAGCAGCTACTCTTGTACCATCAGCAGCACGTCAAGAAGTTTCACCAATAACATTAGATACAATGAATGCTTCACAATCACTATCAAATATAGATTTAAAAACAATTACTGATGAAATGGCATCGATTAAAAGAGTTATTGGAGATCTTCGTACTTATGCTGAAGAGGTTAGATGATATAGAATACTTTTAAAGAGAGAGTTATTTTGTTTTTTTTTCTTTTTGATTGTTATAGATGAATAGATGTATGCAATGGATGATGGATGCTATGGAACGTGTTAAAATGTCTAAAGAACCAAAACCAAAATTGAGATCAGCAGTAACAACTAATGGTGAGATTATTTAATTTGTTTTATTTCATTTTTAATCTGCTTCTTTTGTTAGATCTAAAACAAACTGACGAATGAGTTTAGCTGTGATTAAAATTTATGCATTTTAATTGTCGAGTTTTATTATAAGTTTGCGTGTTGTTAATTTTTTTATTTTGAGAAACTAACATATTTTTTTTTTATGGGATTTGATTAAAAAATTATTTTTGTATGTATAATTTCAGATGTGTTGTTATCAATGGATTTTTCTGAACACTTTCGAACGAACTAATCAAGACTGTCATGCTATTAAATAATGTCTGAGTTGATTGGTCATCTTTTTAATTCGTACATTTACTTTTTTATTTAGTGAATAAGTTTTCAAAAAAAAAATTATGAAATACATAAAAGCTACATTTTCATATTGTATAGGCGTAATACATTATAATGTTCTTTTAAACGACAGTCGTTTGTTTCTATTTAACGGGTGATACATAAAATATTGCACTGTTAGTGTTGTCAATATTTCTTCTATTGTTTTTCTTTCATTGAGAAATATGTTTTATGAAAAGTTGCTGCATGACATTGTCTTAGCGTTGTTTTATATAGTTCGATTCTTAAGTGATTCTAAATATAAAAAAATAATTCGATGCAAATATCTGTAAAAAAACGGAAAGAAAAATTCTCAATGACCAACAAAGATTCATTTTGATTTGAATGCAATAATCCTATTGAAAACAAATAATTCATAACAATTTTCCTATCAATTTATTAGAAGATGTCACTCGACCTTGTCCACAAATTTATACCTTACAGGTAAAATGATAGTTCAGACGAGATGAGTGCAATCTAGAATATTGTTGGCAGAGGTAAATAATTCAAGGGAAAATCTACTATAGGTTTTGCCTAAACATCTTAGCTATTTCATATACGATGAGTTCAGTAACTATCATTGGTTATTTTACAAAATAATACCAAGTTAAGTTTGTGACTGAATTCGCATAGTATGTCATTGAAAAGCATTAAAACCGATAGTATACAGTACAGTTGTTTTCGTCATATTGGTGAATTTAATCATCATCCTGGGATGTCCACGCTCATTATTGTGACGATCGTAAATGATCCGTAGAGTAACTTGTTGGTCAGAGCAGTGATGCCAGATGTGGCCGAGTGAGGACTTAGGTACAGACAAAACCCACACATTTACTCTTCACATAGCAGGTGCAAGCATGATACACAAAATATAAATAAAATGTATATCTGTTCAGGTCAATTCTCATGTATCATCATCAATTATCGTAAAGTTACCATCAACAGGCATATTTATGTCGTCTAATGTTGTTATCATGCATTCAGTATTCCTGATCCAAAACAATACCGTATTATCATTGTAAAATGTCGTAGTGCTGCCATATTCTTGATCCTAGTGTTATTTCTATTTATATTCACTTACTGAAAGTAAACATCATAAGAATTGTATCTTAATCTTAGCCTATGTATGCATGTCAATTTGAAATATGCTCAAAGTATATATCTTCTATGCAATTCGAGTCGATAAAATTTATTGAACGTCATGAATCAGCATTGTGTTTCATTAAAATGATTTCATCATCAACAAAGTATGTTTATGTGTAAAACTCGAAATAATCAAACGAACATTCATAAAATGTTGTGAAAATTTTGTATCGTCGCTGTTCCTTACTTTTAATCAGGAATATGTTTTCATTTTGATATTGAAGAAAGTTTTAAAAAAAATGAATTATTCAGATCTTATTTATTAGTTTTGAAATAATAGCAACTTTTCTAATGGATTCCTATCGATCATATACAGAATATCAATTATATTTACTTTTGTATAGTTTATACGATTATTTTTGAATTTATGCTATTTTTCAAATGTTCTACGAATTTCAGAATAGATGATGTAACTCGAATAGTTCATGCTGTCAAAACAATATAATTATTTATTGAAATAAAACAAGTCATTTTTTTCAAAATACGATCTTATTCTGAACTATAACCTACGGCGTACAGCTCAAGATGTACATTGCTGGCTTGGTTATCGGTAATGACATTAAGTTCAGGCTTCGATGAGCAATAGAGAAATTCGAGTGTTTCCGAATCGAATGAATAAGCACTTTGATAGTAACGATAACCACGTTTGAATTTTGTATCTCTAATACTATATTCAGGACATTCAGTCCATAACCAAACATTAAATGCAGCTTCACCAGAATTCATTCCACTTCGAATGAAGACAGTTACGCTAACCTTTCGTGCTGTAGATGGAATTATGATGTTAAGTGGAAACGTGACTTGTTCAAGCGTATTGAATTGAAATATACCAAGTGAATATGGAACAATTTTAGGACTAACCAGACTCACGAAGGAGGAAAATTCTAAAATAATGAAAGATTATAAATAAATATTCATTGCTAGAACATTAACTTACGTGTACCATTGTTAGCAATACTATGAGCAACAAGAAGAGTAAGTAGAAAAGTAACGATTTTCATCTTTTTACAAAATCAAAATGAATGTGTGCTTATTTTGAATGAAACTTTAGTAGTATGTATTCTCATTAAATAAGTTGCCTCTTCAAATAAAGAAAAGATGAGTCATATATGTACAAATAAAAATACAATCGACAAATGCATGATCAAGACTTATTAAAACTATACTGAAGTCATTTTATCTAATTTTTTTCATGACATTTAAATTATTTTACATAAAAAACTGAACTTTATTAATAAAATTAACTGAGATCAATTTTTGAGGCAAAACTTTAATAAGACTTTTCAAATTTCATTTTATTACTCGGTTTTTATGTTCTCCACATTCTACAAAATAAGGACAGAAATTTAATAGTCACAATAAGATCTACGATTTGTTTTCTTTACATATTTCTCGAGTGTTCTTATAAATTTAAAACAACTTGAAGGTAATTGAATTAATAATGAAGTTTGTTTTCAATGTAGACATAGTCACAAGATTAAAAGGATGATCAAGTTGCCACACACTTCAATCCTAGTTTAGTAATTGATAAGTAGAGTCAATCTTCTTCGTTAAATATGCAGAACTCTTAAGGCAAATGAGTTGAAAAAAAATCGGTAGAGAATACGAAGTGTATTTACGAAAGAAACAGTAATAACAATCATTCTCTTCTAATATTAATCGAAAGATCAAAACCAGTCTGTTTAAATCTCGTTATGAAACAATTTATTAATGATCTTTTTTTTTATAAAAACATATTGTAGTTTTAGATGGGCGTTGATACATCGAATGTCAGAATAATTTACGTTGAGCAAATTTTTCAAAGACAGCATTTTATATAGAGCTTATTTGTTTTTGGATAACATTGTGACAAAATGATTTAATTTGATAGATTGATTGATCTATAATCCATGTCGAAAAATAATGCCGATGTTTGTAGCTCTTAGCGAAAATGTTAAAAACGAGACACGAATGCCATTTTCCGTTAGAGTTTTGGCGTGTAATGTAATCAATTGCTAAAGAAAAGCCTTCTCTTGTGATCTACGTAAACTCCTGCTTCATACTCTAAAGTCACAAGAACTTTTTGAGATCTCCAGATTTGAACAAAATGACCTTCAAAGCTTCTAAAAGGGCTCCATATAAAAGTTAATTCATCATGCTAAGTCGAATAGTGATGTGTGCTTTCAGTTTCAAAGCAATCTCAGATCACTATTCGAACATTGTCAAAACTTTGATTTTTATGCTGCTGTATAACACGAGTTTTTGAAGCATGAAAAATATTGAAATAGTAGTTTTATGTTGCTTTGAAATTGAAAAATAACATTATCATTTTATTCATCATGATAATTTACCGTTCTATGGAACAATTTTGGAGCCCTCTCCAAGGTCAATTTGCTGAAATCAGAAGTGTAAGGGAAACGTTTGTAACTCTTGAATGGAAGCGGACATGAGGTAGGGGTTTACATGGCTCAAAAAAGAAAGTTTTTCTTTAGCAATTGACCATATTACATATCAGAAACTAATGGAAGATGACTTCAGAATCTCGTTTTCAAAGTCTTCGCTTAGAATTTATATGACTGATCAATTGCTGAACAGTCAGATTTCAAGTTACTTTCGAAGAGCCGGATTTTTTTCTCTTAAATGATGAAAATACAAGCTCTCTTCGTCGTTCCTATCCAAATTTATTCAAAAGAACAAGCATCGACATTCTTTTCTTAAATGAATGATAGTATTTCTTTAAAATTATCAAAATGAGCATTGAAAATTGTGTACTTTTCTGGAACATATTTCATTTTTTTTTTCAAAAAATAAAAAAGCAATAATATGTGACAGTTCAGATTTTTAATGTTGTTTGTATGATTCATGACATTATTCAACAAAAGTTTATATTAATATTTCATTATCTTTTGAATTATTGATGGTGTAATTCGTTTCCTACTCTGATAAAATGTAGTAATAATAACTACTCGACAATGCCATATATGAAAGCCAAACGCTATCACAGTTATGATCAGAAACGTAAGAAAGAGTCCACCCAAGATATCAAGTGAAAATGTTGCAGTTTTCGAACCATCAGCATAATTTGAACTGCTTGATGATGATGGACATCCTCGATATTTAACCCACATCTTTTCTAATGATTCTAATCGTTCTGATTCACGTAGAGCCAGAATATGAACATCTAAATCTCTCTTGTATATCCAATTTTTAGGTAAGACAATACCAAACGATGATTTAACAAAACCAACACCAGTTACAGTTAATTCATCACAAAAATAATTGTTAACAGCATATTCAATTACAGATGAATCCCATATGGATGCATCAATTGTATGATCAAGTAATTTTGAGTACATCTCTTCAGCTGTCGAAAGAGGATAATATTTAGAAGAAATATTTTGTATATAATAATCTGATGCAGCTGAATTGGTGACTATACCAATACGTGAAAAAGGTATGCGTCCATTTTTTATATCATCAATACCGGAAATAGACGGTTGAACACGGTTTAGCGTAAGAAAAGATGAAAGATTAGCTGTATAAGTTGCAACAAGAATAACACCTAATGCATATAAACCTAAAACTGTTAATCGACTTGAAGCTGTTGCTAAACGTATGTCACCACTCATGATCAAAATACTAGTTAATGCATGATATATACCAATTATCATATCTTTTAAATCAGATTGAGATTGCCTATTTTCAATTTTTATATTTTTATATTCAAAAAAATAAATAATGATTCCTGAATAAATCATAATTGCAAAAATAGCCACCCATACATCCCAAGTAAATGGATTAAAACATGAGAAAAGACTAAGTGATGAAGAATATGGATGTTGTCGAGTTATTATTCGAAATGTGTTTTCATGAAATGGTGTTGAGAAATCCACTGTAAGAAGACGACCTGAAGTTATTCTAATATCAGATAAAACAATATCATATTGACGATTATCACTTGCAACGGATGCAACAAGAGAATGATAGCTTGTTGATAGATCGGCTACGTCAATAGTGTAATTAAAATGCATTTTCTGTTGAAGTTCACGGATTAAATCAGCAACAAGTCCATAAATAAAAACATTTGGTTTTTTAGTTTTCAGAGGATTAATAAGGAAACCAAATTGTTCACCATACTTAATACTGTTCCAGGATTGACCTTGAGTTGACATATTGTGTACTATAACGAATGGAGGAGCTTCAATGACACGAATTCGCAAATGTTGACCTAAATATATTCGATGTCAGTTATAACATTCCTTAAAAAGATATGATATGTATATGTAATTTTTTTTCTATAAAACTAGAAAGACAACAGATAATAGAAAAAAAAAATATTGAGAAGAAATTCACATTAGAGCTCATAGTAGTACAGTCTTTTAAACGAACAGACAATCAAATTTAGATAACATAAACCATTTCTACGATATTTTTCAATCAAAATCCATTGCATTCCGGATACAATTATTAGATCATAGTCTTATCTTAATTCAAACAAATGAAGATTCTGTTTATATCTTACTAATTGAAACATATATGAAACTCTTTAATACTACAGATTTGTTTAATTATTGGTTTGTGTAACGATCAATTTGAAATATCATAAGACCTCGTATGTAAACAAAAGATGGTAGAAAAGGAATCATTTATCGTCAATGTTATGAACTATTGCATTGTCTTGATCATGTGATTGCATGAAATGAACCAACGTTCATCACTGTCAATGAAATGTGCTCATAGTCGTATTCACAATACTTGAATTTTATTCACATCTTTGTTTTGTTTACTTCGTGGAACTTTGTAAATGTACGTTTAGTCAATAGAGAAAAAAAGAAAAATAGAGCGCAATATTGGATCATATTGATTAGAGGTGATTTCTTATCTACTATTCCTAGTTTTCATGTGAGATCATACGGTATTTTAAATTGACTATTAGACACAAGAACAATTTAACAAATCCGAAGTTTTAAAGAATTTCATAAATGTTTCAATTAGTAAGATATAAACAGAGTCTTAATTTGTTTGAATTAAAACAAAACTACCATATAATAATTCTATTTGGAATGGTATTGATTTTGATTGAAAAATATCATTGAAATGTTATATGTTATCTAAATTTGATTTTCTGTTCTTTTGAAAGAGAACACCCCGAGTTCTGATGTTTCTGAAATTTTTTTCCATAAAAAGGATGAGATATTAACGAATTGATAGCAAAGTAGTTATATACTGATGATGTTATGTCATTTTACAATGTTTCTAGAGTGAGAAAAAAATGACGATTTTTAATCAGATCTATTTATCTTAGGCAATAGTTTTAAATTTAATTTCATTGATGATTGAAGAAAAATATTGTTTTTTTGTTTACTCAACAAATCTATTTTTCAAATATTATCCTATTATTTATCTCATATTATTAGATATAGTTTGATATAAAATTTTTCGAAATTTCTTTTAGTTTTTTGACTGTCAATATTTGTTTGTGCTTATTCTTTCTATTTGTAAATTGACAATAATTTTTTTTTAATTAACTTTTTCCAAACCTCGAAGTTGTGGATAATCAGTAGGTACTTTTTCTGATTGATTGTTGGGCCAAATGATATTAATGTTGTCTTGATCCGAGTAGTTCATCCAATTATGACTTGTCTCATACCATGTCATTATTTGTTTATAGTTTGGTACTCGTCTTACTTTATCAGATTTCTGTTCTATATCTTGCACATTGTAGAGAGTATACATGGTACCATGAGTGCGTTCATGTAAATTATCTTTAGAAAAATGAATAATTCCTGACACACCGAAAAAAAGAGTCTGGTTCAGATACATAAGATACTCGGTATGGTTTTGCAATAAACTATCAAAGCATGTAGATGATTTTTGCATTGATGGCGATTTTTTATCAAGCGTTGATTTGTTTAATGCTTGAATCATAGCCCAAACAGCATCAAATGTATACATGGCAAATGGACTGACAGCAGATAAATGTTTTGGAACTTGGGTGCCGTCATTTGACAAGTTACGCCATGTATCAAAAGCTTCTTTTTGTAATGTTTCATTAACACCAAAGATACTGCTATTACCTATGGTAGGTACTACAGTAAGAATACCTTTTAATTTAAACCAATCATTTTGTTTGAATACATTGAAATCAATCTGAAAAGAGTGTTAATACAATATAAATCAAAAGAAATTTATTAAACGTTGATCATCGAAAGGCATAAAGAAGTCGTTAGTATTATCACGAATGGATATCTATGCATTCTCAGATTTAACGATACAGCCCGTATACAGCCATTTACGATTAATTTAAGATGTAAAATGGACCGTATTCTAACCGTAATATTTGATGCAGAGATACGACCTTATAGAATGAAAATACAGCATCGCATACAATGGCGCATTACTGTACCGTAAATTACGAGAAAATACGATCCGTTTACATACCGTATTGATGCAAAGTTATAACAAAAATACAAGCAACTGTACCCGCGAACTTGAATCTGTAGATTTTATTTTAATGATAGCGTTTAATTTCTTTGAGAGAATGGAGAAAAATTATCAAAAATAGATGAGTTCTTTAAATTAAAATATCTTTGAATTTACCTTATTTGTCGTTACCCATACGTAGTTTCCGCCGAGAAGTTCTGCTTTAAGTGCATGTTGAATAATTCTTGTAGTAGAGCTTTGATTAGCCCAAACTAATACAATACGAGATCGACTTCTTTCTAATGTTGGCTTTAAATGAGCGTGAAATTGATCAAACCGTGGATCAAATATTAATCGCTCTTGAAGTGACAAATTTGAATAATAAAGTTCTGATAATATTTTCAATGCACCATAACCATAATCATCTTTTCCAATAATTATTGTACAAGTTGTCCATGAAAAGTATTTGAACAATTGCACAACAGCATGAGCTAGAAGAGTATCCGAAGGTATAGTACGATAGAATGTTTGATAGGTAAATGTATCGTCAAGATCAGCATTAGTTGCAGCATAAGAAACAAGTGGCAAACCTATACGTGCAGCAAATGGGCCAAGATAGCGCGCATTAGTTGAACTTGATGGTCCGACAACGCCTACAACATCGGGTTCTGTTTGGTTAGTAATTGATCGACAGACAAGTTCAAGTTCCATGTAGCCATTAGTATTGGTGTTTGTCTGAAGAATAGTGTAACTGATAGGACGCCCATCTACATAGACTTTGTAGCGATTAGCAAGAGTGATTGCTGCACGAAACATTCCCATACATTGAGTTGTCCAATGATAACTTTTATTCACATTTAAATAATTAGAAGTTGCATCCTGATATTCAGGAAAAAGACCAAGAATGCGAACAGTATTCAAAGAATCGATAGATAGAATAAAGCAGACAAGTAAAAAGAGAAAGCGAGACATTACCATCTCAACACAATGGAATAGTATGAAAGAATTGTTAGAAATATTTATATCGATCATGAATATCTTTATTTTGAATTTGTTGAACAGATGGACGTCTTTGTGTTCAAGTGCAAAAATCATGACTTACATGACGTACATGATGACAAGGAAAACAATATATTAACAATGAGCTTACCGTTCTTATCTCTTGTGTGATTGATTCTTTGTAATTATTTTCAACGACACATTGTCAGATAATATTATGAGAAAAGTTCTTGTTCATTTACTTGTCTATTGAAATTATCTTTATTGGAACCATTTTTCAGAAATTTTTAGAGCTAAACCAACTGACAAGGATTCATATACTTCTTTAGAATTATCTGGATAATCTCTCTCAATTTAAAAGAACTAATATCTGTTGATTATAATCCTCTATGAGTTTATTATGTTGTTTTGAAAACAATGATAATTCAACTAATTATAAATTCACGTCATCTTAATGATAAATTTTTTATCACTGATAATTCAGTAAGAGGTGCAATATTTTTCAAATAAAATAGTTGATAAATATTTTATGAGAATAAATATTTCGTTTTTTCTAATAGAATTATTAATACTGTATGCCTATTGAATATATACTCATATGATCACAATTCATATTTATTTATTATTGTCTGATTAGAACAGAAATAAGAATGAAATATTTTTCTTTATCTAACTGCTATCTTTTTATCCAATTATTCACAAAAAAAAACGCAACATCATTGATGTGATGTTAAAAAGGTTTATATCATAATAAAACCAGTAATGAAGTTTATAAATCATAATATGCAAATGAATTTTATTTTCTTTACACAAATGAAAATGTAGTATACATTCGATTTGGTTAATTACTTTATTGTTATAAACATCGACAAGTTTTAGATTATCATTAATGAATATAGGAAATAGTGTTTATATGTTGTGTACGAAAAATTGTTCAAATTGAAAATATTCGGAATATTATTATTGTTTCAATTTCTTCTTGATTGCTTCATCAATTAATGCCAAAGCTGTTAATGCATCAAGACTAATTTCTATTGTTTGTCCTTTACCTTTATTTTTGTAATAAAAATTAATTCTAGAATGTTCATCTAATGGATTAATACGAATAAAATCAGCTGTCCATCTTGAATAGACGAATATTCGTTCACTTTCTGCTCTAACCGTTGGAACGGCTGTACCAGCTCCTAATTCAATAATTAATAATCTGGCTTTTGTTCTAACAATATCAGATTTAAATTTTTCATAATGAGCAACTTGTTCATTCAATCGATTCCCTAAAAACTTCCTATCACCAAACATTAATACATTTGGTCTTGCTAATTTCTCACAATAAAGACATTGAGGTAAAGGATCAATAACACAATCTGTTTTCGGATCTACATTAAGTTTCAATGTCCTGTTGGTCTCCCATATACATTCACGACATTTATCAATGCATTGCATATAATGAACGGAACCATGACATTCAAGAACTGTTGATTCATTCCAACCGGATTTTATCCAATGACCATCAATATTACTAGTAAAACTAAATGAAAATTTAACATGATTCAATTCCCTCCATCGTTTAGCAATTTCATAACCAAGATGTGGAGCAGCTGATGTATAAGCATTGTATCGAAATGCCCAAAAAGCATAACCAAAATTAGCCGTATTGTGTTTATCACTGTTACCTTGTGGCTTTGTAAACCATTGTGGATTACTCATATCAGTAAAATCTAATTCTGGATGCTTTAATAAAGGTGGCCAAACGCCAGCAGCAACACCTCGAAATGTGCCAAGTCCACTACTTACGCCCATTCCAGCACCACTAGTAAATAAAATAGCTTCACAATTAAGTACTAAATCGGCTGCTTTTTCAATAAGTGATTGCATTTCAGCATTTATTGTCTGTTGAATATCTATTTTGATATTTTGTGATAGATTTGTCGAAGCCATGATATAGATATATTTAATATCTAAAAAGAATCAAAGGACAACTAATGAAACTTGTTCAAAATATCACACGACACAATGACAAAAAAAAAGAAAAACTTTCGAACTGATATACTTCGAAAGTTTTTATAACATAAGTGAGAATTAGATTCGAATACTACTATTACTTTGTATTTTCTGAAAGAAAACAAAAGTTCGAAAAATTTCTTCTTTCTTTTTTTCTTTTAGAAGAATAAACAAGAAGACACATCTTATGATTATATGACGATAAAAAACTTAGTTCAACGCAAAAGTTGAATATAAATGAAAGAAAAGAAGAAAGAATTTTTTTTAACTTTCACGTTCTTCTTTTTAAGAAAACGAAAGCACCATACTTGTCGATAGCCTGTGAATAATTGTGAATCGAAACACTTTTTTTTTTATCAAAAAAGACAGATACATCACAAATGCACACGTACCGATCTGTTCGGTAACAAGCATAGTAACCTTCTGTATATGTGTCAAGACGAGTGAGTCATGTCTGTACATATGATACTGTTCTTTTCTTATACGTTCTCTCACATTTATGAAGTCAAATATTTTTACAATTACCCATGCAGACATATTGATCAACATTTTCACAATATCCAGGAATATTTTCGTCCAACATACTCGAGATAAGCTTCTGAAATAATGCTTTTTGTTGAATCCAAGATTAATAGCAGTGTTATGACGCTTTAAATGAAACATATTTCGTGTTGATTGTGACAATTATTTTACTTTCACTCAAACTAGTCATTAGAATAGATTGAATTAATTCTTCTTTTTCGAAATAAATGCGCACAATAAGATACAGTCGAACAGTCTTTCACTTTCGAAAAAGTAATGCTCATTACAAAGAAAATAAAAGGACGAGTGGCAGTTTATTAAATAAATTTTGATAAAAACAAAATAGAGAGCTACTATTTTCATTTTTAGAGAGAGGAGATGAAGACACATCGAATCATATATTACAATATTTTTCGATCTGTTTTATTTTTTCATAGTTTTCAATCAATCTTTTGAAAACTTACGTCTCCTGTGAGACGACTATGGTGAGTTTTCCATTATCAGGTGTGCATTCGAATCGCCCATAGACGATCTAGACAACGATACAAGCCTCAGACGTTTAGATTTAAGTATTCAGAAGTCATAGGTGTTCTAGTCAAAACTTTTGGCTTATTTTTCATACAATTGCTGTGAAAACAGAATCACATTTTCGCTGCTTCTTGTATTTTAAAAGAAAATATTTTCCCAATAGTTTTCTATTATAAATTTTATTACAAAAAGTTCAGAAAAAAACCTCAGGAGAGCCTATAACATATAATTCGGTTTGACTTTGTGATCTCTGTCGAATGGTGAATACCGTAGCGTTCTATCTTGTTATTATCAAAATTTATTAAAAACATATCTACTTGTCTTTTATTTTCGAAATGGACATTAGCATATGTATTAAAAATAGATATACGTACGTTGAAATTGTTTTACTTCTTTTTCTAGATTCATAGCAATTAATAAATTATTTGCAGAATAAATAATAATGCAAATGTAGTCTTTATTATTCAATAAAAAAAAATCGTATGAATATTTGTATATAATAAATCTTCCGCGTTCACTGTAGCATAAGATATTATCAACTTCTACTTGATTTAATTACATCGTATTATCATTGCCTACTAAAAACCATATATGAGTTAAAACTGAAGTGAAAAGATATCAATCATCATGATATAAACTTCTTAAATTTGATTTTATTAGATCTTAACAATTATAGTACAAAAAGCAACTAAAGATCTACAAAGATTATCGAAAGAATTGACTCGGCTAGAAAGTTAATTTCTTTTTATACAAAATAAGAGAATGATATTTAAATTTAAAACAATATTTTAATCAAACTATAGATTATATGAAGTTTTTATTTCAAAAAGTTTCTTGAAGATAGATCAGAAGCACTGATGATGTTGAAGATCTCTAGTAAAAATATATGACTTTGGTTTCATGTTACAACAACTGAGATTGAACTTCGAATCTTTAATTAGCCACCTTCATTTCGTTTTCTGGTAATTTTTGAGTACACTGTTTCCGTTTAATGAAAGGACTGGGCCTAAAGACTGGTGATAATTTTAATTCTGGAGTCTGTTCGGTGACGTTAGAACTTTCAATATCATTCAAATTGAATTGAGAATATACGTATTGCTTTGATCTCAAATGATCATTCGAATCTAAAATTGAAATTAATGTTTATAATGCAAGTAAATCTACTTCAGAAAACATACTCTCCAATTCTAAAATGCTACGCCGATTAGCTTGCCTTTCATTTGGTACTGTTTTACATCCTGAGTTTCGCTGCACCAGAAGAGCATTTACTTTATTTTCAATCCGTTCTTGGTGATAAACAGGAACTGAATTATCGATATCATTTGTGAATTGAGAAGATGAAAGAGATATTTCCATTTTTTTCCAGTTTTCTCCTTCATATGCTATCCATTTACTCAAGTTTAAAAT